CTCAAATAACACTACTAATGTAGTGAATCCACAATATCAAAAGTATTAGCAACATACTGATACTGGTTTTTTATGCGGTTCAATATTCTAATAGATAGGATGTTGAGTTTTCATTCATGTTCTTTAAAGTTCGAAATTTACCTTCTTTTAATTACTGCAATAGTTTTTCGCTCTCATCTTCCCTTAATAATAATAAATAAAAACATTGATATTGTTTTTAGGTCATATAAAGACAATTTCGAGTCATTTGTTGTTGATATAACGGGACAATATTGACACAAAAGGGAATGACGATTTTCACACACCTATTCTCTCTTATTGCAACCATGTTATTCAATTCAAAGCTATATATATAAACGTCACTTAGTAATAGAGTCTAGTCTAGTAATATTCATTTTCACTTGCAAGTGAGAGGTTTTAAGTTCGAATTTCAGAAATACCACTTAGTACTACAGTAATAGTGCTATTTCGAGAGCATTTCCATTAAAGTTTCTTATTATTGCGAACAACATTAATCATCATGGTGATCTTAATTAATCTTAATCTTAATTTCATCCCCCTAGATAAAAAGAAAGATTGAATTCCTAGTGGGAATGTTATGTCATAATCTATAGGTATAGTATTCTATGCTTAGGATGTGTGTGTGTATTTTACATTAATGACATGGAGGAAATTTTCATTCTAACGGAAACACGAGTGGTATACTACGTGTTTTTATGTAAGTAGTGAGAAATTTTATTTTTTATGTTATTAATTTTTTAACATACATATCCTACTATTTGTATAGCAACACGCGGTGTACCACCTCTTATGCTGGTCACACTGAAAAATTTCTCCATGGCATGTGCGTAGTGCATATGTTTTTGCTACTTGTTAATGGAGGTGGATTGTCTACCCTCTCATTTCCATACTCTCTCCATGCCATTTTGTTTGTGTGATCACAGTTAAGTCACGTCAATATTTTATATTAATTTTTTATAGAAATAATAAAACAAAAAGTAATAAGAATATAGAAATAATAAAACAAAAATAATAGGAATATAAAATATTAACGTGGTTTAATCGTGACCACACATCTTAGAAGAGCATGTGAAAAGTATGAAAATGAAAGGGCAGAAATCCACCTCCCTTGTTAATACCGACTTTATATCCAGATCTCCTCACGTCCCATATCTTCTCTTTGGGAAAAGAAAAAGAAGCACAAAGCATCACCATTTGATTCTTTCTACTGTTTTTGTAGACAATGTTTTCCAACCCCACCATATCATTCTCCTCATCTCACAGCAATTGGTCACAAAGCAAACTTATTTTCTTTACCGTTACAACTCACTCCTCACCCTTTCTTTTTCCCCACTTTCTTATTTTTGCCACTTTCTCTCCTCACTCCCTTATCTTCAAACACTTTCCTCTCTCCAAGTAGTTTAAATTCACTACAATTTTACGTGCAATGTTTTTAAAAGCAACCGCATCTTCTCTAACTTATTAGCGCATATGTTTTCTCGCTCGTTAGCGTTTTCAGTAAAGACGTTTATGAATCACGTTAAAAATCTGATTTGCTCTTTCGCTTGATTCCCATAAACACCTTGCAAAACCATGGCAATTGCAGCTTCTAAGTGCTTCTTCCTTTTCTTCCTGTCTCTCCTCTCTTGTTGTTCATCAGGTAAGTAATACATTTTTACTTTTTGACTCGTTGTTTCGATATATCATTTCTTCGGACGGAAGAAGATTGTGCACAGACTTACTCGAAATATCACTTATCAGATTCCGTTTCGACGAACTTCATAGTAACATATTTGAATTTTGGAATTGCATTTCATCTTCTGATTAGTTCTTGAGTAGTTAAAACTGGGTTTCAACCCGTTACAGCTAAAACTATCAGTTACAAGTAGTTTGAAGTTTGTCATTTTTTTTCCCCTCACAAAATACAGGAACTCTGGTGGGGTTTTCATATCATGCAAGTGGAAACACTACAACTTCATCACCAGGCAGAACAATATCATTCCTGAAGCAGAACAAGATCAAGCCGTCTCAGATTCGAGTCTTTGTCGAAGATCCTAGGGTTTTAAGCACTCTGTCCAAAACCGGCGTAGCTGTTGATCTCTACTTGAATGAGAGGCAGGTTGAAAATCTGATGAGCTCCAAATCTTCCTCAAAACCATGGCTGAAAACCCACATAATGCCCTTCTTCTCAAAAGCAGACATCAAAAGCATCATAGCAATTGGTGGCAGTGATCATACAAGAAAATCTAGGCTACCTAGGGTTTTATCCAACCTCAAAGCCCTACACAAGGTCCTCACTAGTCTTCCTTTCGACCGAAGAATTAAGGTCTCGGTAGCATTTTCTCTGCCATTTCTTGAGAATTTGAGAAGAGGAAATGGAAAAGACCTGCACAGGATCTGTAGTTTTTTTAATGAAGAGAGATCTTCTGTCATTGTAGAAGCCAATATCGGCGGAGAATTGAACATGGGAGATAGGTTTGTTCAGTCAATGATCGAAAAAGCCAGCCTTGCTCATTCTGTTCTTCCTTGTAAAGCCGTCCCCATGGTTTTGACAATCAAGAGTCCAGCAGCTCCCAGCGCAACTGAAGTGGCTGAGTTCACAGATAAGGTTTCAAAAGCTTTAGAAAGCGAGACTCGGATTACAAGTAGGCTAGTAGGGTTATACGCAGAAGTGGATTCCATGGAAGATTTTGCACAAAAAGAGCTCAAGAGGGAAGAGGAACAGATCCTTCCTTCTTCTAGAAGAGAAATCCTAAGCGATCCCCACCCGAAAACAACGTCACATGATGCATATGGCTCACCAACAATCTTCCCTACAAATCCAACAACACCAGCAGTACCTACAACTTCTCCATACACCTCTTCCCCAACCATTGTCACTGTCCCGGCTACAAACCCGGTAACAGTAACTCCGGTTAACCCCGCTGCGCCTGTGGAAGTTCCCTCCACCACACCCATCATTCTTCCACCTTCAAACCCTGTGAGTTCATCAGTGCCAGTTACCAATCCAGCCACAACTCCACCAATAACTAACCCTGCGACAACTTACCCGCCGCCAACTGGAGGTGTTCCCTCCACAACAACACCTGTCACGAATCCGGTCACACCTCCTGCAACAACTAACGCTCCTGCAGTTCCAGGGCAGAATTGGTGTGTGGCAAAGAGTGGAGCACCACAAGCAGCACTTCAGGCAGCTTTGGATTATGCATGTGGAATGGGAGGCGCAGATTGCTCACAGATCCAGCAGAGTGGGAGCTGCTACAATCCAATTTCTCTGCAAAATCATGCCTCCTTTGCCTTCAACAGCTACTATCAGAAGAATCCTGTGTCAACTAGCTGTGACTTTGGAGGGGCTGCCACAATAGTTAGTGCTAATCCAAGTAAGAAAGTATTTCATTCATTAGTACTTTTGTTTCTTCCATGTGATTTTATATATGCTAGACATACACTTAGGCTCGTTAGGAAGTGCTTATGTAGGAAGCACTTTTAATATTTTTATTATAAGTATGCATAAGTTTTTATTAAAAAATAAAAGTACTTGGAAGTGTTTCCTAGAAACGTACTTGGCGATGCTTCCTAAAGGAGCACATGCAAGTGCTTGTTCAGAATGCGGTTCCACGACTGAAATTCGCTTTTAAGTTTTTTGTGCCAAACGTAGTAAGATTCAGTTTGGTTATCCAAAGCAATCTCAAAGAGGCCTTAGACTTTGCAGATATTGGTTAAACCAGTTGATTAAGGCAGTGTGTCCGACCTCTTATGCCCTAGTTCGAATTCCCTCTCCATAAATTATAGTAGTTTAGAATATCTACATGTGAGACTAATGAATTTTTGAACAGGCACTGGTTCCTGCATTTATGCATCATCATCCTCAACACCAACTCCGAATCCGGCATCAACAAATCCACCACCAACATCAACAATTCCACCACCAACGTCAACAATTCCACCACCAACATCAACAACTCCACCGCCAGCAATCACAACATTTCCACCACCTGGGGAAGGTGTTTTAGGGTATGTATAATGTTCTATCTCACGACTCCATATACTACATTTCCAAGTCCATTACTAATCTCACCTCTACTTGCAGCTCTGGTACTCCGCCTTCGGTTTTGAACTCAAGCAACCCGGCTAATTCAGGAACCATGCCAGAACTTGGGCCCTACACCCCTCCCGGTTTCAACACAACAACAACATCCGCTTCAGCTAGCTTGCAACCGTCTTTTGGTTGCATCTTTTTCGTAGCAACCTTAGTTACAAGAAATTTTTTTCTTAACATGTGAAAATGGAACTTCTCCATGAACTTAATGGGTGGTCAGATTCCACATAAACTTGTTTTCTCATCACTAATCGCGGTTGTACATAACTACGTATGCAAGCTTAGAAGCTAGAGGAAACATGATAGGTACTGTCTTGCATTAGGTGGGGGATGCAGAGTTGCTCTGGGTGAAGTGGAGGTAAGCTTTTCGACATGTAAACCCGGGCTGTTAGAAACAACAATTTTACTCTGAGTCTGAGGTGGAGTGTGCCGTAGAGATTTGTGATTCTGTATACCTTATAGTTGGGTATTGTAGTTCTGCGTACTGAGCTCTTCCTAGTAGAATTAAACTTCAGATTGCTTCAGATATTGATAAAGTTGCATGAACAGAAAATTCTGCTATTTATCGGAGTAAAATTCACTAATCTGTGTTATACATTTCATTACATTATCATTTACCTGAATCTTGATTGTAACATCACAGAAAGCTCTCAAGTTTTCGCCTCAAAGACGGAAAGCTATGAACATCAGAGCACCTGTTGGACTTGCACCACATTAGATTTTAAAATAGCACAGTTGTGACTTACAAGAGGAGTAAAATTTATGGTATTCAAATTCACAGAACCTTCCTGCAAATTTTGACATGACTGAACCATCAAATTAAGGCGTTCAAATTTTGATATGACTGAACCATCAAATTTGCGGGTGAAGGTTAAACTCCGTAGAGTTGAGAGAACAAGGATACAACAAATCCAATACAACACCGGCAGGTATGGTAGCCACAATGTCATACATAGATTCAAATTCGATATTCATAAAGTAATGTGGTTTTAACGAGAACAACAAAATTGCATTCTCTGCTATGCTACATAACGATAACCTCTACAACTGTGGCCTATGCAGCTATTCCTAATTCCTTGACTAAAACTAAAGTTTCGTTCATGTTCTTTATACATAACAGCAGGACTTGATACTGCAACTATTTATCTATTCGCGAACGCCACCAAGACTAACATGGACATAGACATCATGATTTTGAAACCGGAGGTTTCCCAAAAATTGTGTCTTTCAGCAGCTGCAGCTCCACCGCCACCCCGTTGTAACTGATCTCTGAGCTCTTTCAGAGCCTTGTCTCTTCGTTCACCCATCTGCCACAACGAATATATTTCAAAGGTCAAGCTAGTCCCAAATATAATGGCAAGAGCAATTAACCACCAATTGAGAATTTTATTTGAAGTTGACAGAGTAGCAAGAAAAAACTAATGATTACCCTTTGAAGCTTTCGTGTTTGAGCACGAGCTTCCTGGAGACAAAACTCTAATTTCAATACCCTCTTTTTCAGTTCCTGATCAACTCGCCGTTGTTTCTCCAACTGTTCCAGAAAAAAGGATGAACTTCATTAGAAATCTACTAACGAGGACTTTATACAAAAAACAGAGAAAAAGAAGGATATGATGAATGTACCTGTGATTCAAACTCCTTAGTTTTGAGCTTCCAATGAGCTGACATTACCCTGATTTCATCTTTCAGTTTTGCTATTTCTTCATCCTTAACAACTAAAAGCTTATTAATCTTTTCAATATTCTTCGGAGAAACCTCATCTAATATTTTCCTCAGCTCGCAATCCTTGTTCACCCCTGCTTTCGCAACAGCTTGCATAATGTCATTCTCAACTCTCAAAACTTCATCTTTCAGTTGCTTCTGGGAAAACTCTCTTGCCTTAAGATCCTTCTGCAGATTATCTAATTGCTCTCCTAGTCTAATTACACGATCATCTTGCTCTTTTAATGAGCAGTTCTTTTCATCTATTTCCTTCAAAAGCGCTAAACACTGAAGCTGTGCCGATTGAGCTGATGCAGCACTAATATCGGCAGTTGCTTGAGTGGCTGAAAGCTGCAATCTCAGACCATCCACTTCCGTAAGGTACTGCACTCCGTTAATAACATTATAGTCAGGGAAATGTATCCAACAATTAAGTTCACATCCCTAACTACCAAAAACTATGAAATGCAAGTAGTTATCTTGATAGCTAATAAATTGATGCGGTGTTCAAAGACAATAGCCAACGGATATGTTCCAAGATACAAATATATGACTCAGCTATCGGTCACAGAATCATCAAGGTAAACTTATAAATTTTCATACTGCAACTATTTTCCAAATCTGTTTGACGAAGCTCTTTATAGCTAATAAACAATGGTGACAAGCCAACTCAAAACTTCACAAAACAAAGATAGTAAGATGCAAATAAGCTTCGAACATCTTAGGTTGGTACTCTCTACTTCTTAATGTCTAGTTAAATTAAATACATAAAAATATATTGTACGTCAGTCAGACATTAAATAAAAAATTGAGATTGGATTTCTGCTTTCAGAACAACAGTTACATGTTATGTCGATGTGTTCTGTTTATAAATGCAACCATTATGCGCCTGCCTACACGTATATATGCAGAGGCTCGAGAAAGAAATTAGCCGATTTACTAAGTACTGAATGAAATTCTATCGTTTTACGCAGGCTGAATTATTCAATGTGTTGGCATGGAAACTGAAGACTTCTATTGGAAAAACAGTAAGGAAATCAGCTAAAGAAGACTAAAAACGAAACGGTCACCAAACTAAGGTGACCTTTTCTCCTATGGGCTCCGCCAAAAACAAAGAGGCAAAGCCAAAAGGCATCCTCAATGATAACATGTCCGGCTTTTTTGACGACTTCAAAACAACAAGATGCAGTAGAAACGAAATAATCAACTCAGGAAAGACAATCATAATTAGTCAATCATGTCCTTAATTAGCCAAACAATTAAAAGCTAATCCAAAATTATGCATGATCAAGAACTAGGAAGTGAGTGGGACCTTCTCGGCCGTAGATGCTGAGGCCTCAAGCTGCTGATTTCTCTGTTGCAATCTCTTCTGCATTACGCTAATCTCCTCTTCCAAGTTTTTAGCCCTTGTCTCTGCTTCCTGTAATTAGTACAAACAAACCCGAATGACCCAACAATTCGAAAACACCGAAACAAAAAGGGAAATGATTTCCGCACTCTTTTTCATTTTCTGCGAGTCCTGTTTATTTCCGACTCTTTTATTTTCGAGAATTGATTCTTGTTTGATTTATTCAATCTAAAGGCCAAAACGGAGGTCTATTCAATCGGGATTTTGAGGGATTTTAATTCTTTTAATGAATCTAGGGGTATTCAATTAGGATTTGAAGTGATTCTTTAAAATTCAATGTGTATTCAATCAGGATTTTAAGATAATTTATTAAAATCTTTAGAAATCCGGATGTATTCAATTAGAATTTTAAAGAAGTTTATAACATTCCAGATGTATTCAATTAAAATTTGAATTTAAAGAACTTGGAAAAGTTGAAGAATTTGAGAGAATTTATAGTGTATTTTAAACATCCATAAATTTCACATCTTCCCATGAAATTTCGAGGGAATTGAATCAAATCAAAATTTTACATAGAATCCCTACAAATCAGTTAAACTCTATAAAAATCTATAGATTTATAAATCCATTAAAATCTCTCAAATTCCTAATTAAATACACCTCCTAAACAAGGGCGTTTAGAAAAGAGAAAAATGTGAGTGCATAATCACTTCCCAAGAAAATATGACTTATTTCAAGACTGAAAACATGTCATATAAAACACAAAAAGAAGCTTAAAATCAACAAAAACAACAACATGCCTGTCTTGTGAGGGTTTCTTTAACAAATGATCGCTCATGAGAAGCTAACCGACTCCGGACATCCTTTAACTCCGATGCCAACGACACCACATTCCGGCGAAAACTCTGCTTCCTCTCATCCAAATCTTTTAGCAACGGATCAAATTCGTGGACCGACATCGATGACAGTGATGAGGAAGACGAGGAAGGTGACAAAGGCAGTGATTTCTCCGAAATCGACGCCATAAATCCGAAAAAACAATCTCACCCAAGTGAGATTGACGGTGAAGATGTAGATTGCGTGAAGGGCAGAAGATCAGAGGTCTAAAGTCCTTGCAGTGAAAGAAGTTATCTTCTTCTTCAAAGCTGCACGTGAAAGAAGCAGATGTGCATTAAATTTTTATGGCCTCCAAGAAATTTAGAATTTTAAAAACTGATTAAATTAAAAAAATTGTAGCTTTAAAAGCACCATAAATGGTTTCACGTATTTAGCTTCAAAAAATGAAAGTTGAATTAAAATAAGAAAGTTCAACCAGCATCATTTTCTTAAGCTAATCAAGTCCAAGAAAACTGCACATATACTTTTCTAAATAAAAGATTTAACCATGCAAATAATACACCTCCTCTCACCATCAACCAAATTAATCATGCAAAATATGGTCAACTTCAACTAATAAATAATATTGAATTTAAGAGAGAGAAATATTATTGAGATTAAGAGAGAGAAAGAGAGGAGAGAGAGGGCTAACAATTGGGTCTACTGAATTTGAAGAAATCTGAACTCAGAGTCTCCAACTTGAATACCTTCATCTCTAAATTTATTCAGAAAAAATTAATTAATTAATTAATAAACAATTAACCCGAAATTCAAAAGGTTGAAGCAAATTTGAGTTCGTGACTGACCCACAAATCCAATTTCCAAAAAAAAAAATCAACTTTAAATCAAAACCGTGAAAAAGTTCTAATCTTTTTGATAATTAACAAATAATTTAACCACTTCCTATCCTCTGCATGCAAATGGGTCTCCAAAACACACCCTGAAAATCCCCAAAACAGATCCAACAATCTCAGCAAACATCAACAACATAAGAGTTCACAAAGAACGTGTTTTTCTAGAGAGAGAGAGAGGAGAGAGAGAGAGAGGAGAGAGGGATACCAGGTGGCCGAGTCAGACCAAGTGTGAGTGAGCAAAAACCCACTTGAGAATCTCTCTGTCTTCTTCCCAAACAAATGACAGAGACAGACAGAGAGACGAGACCCGAGTACTCTGTTTCATCCAATGAACGGAGAAGGAATCCTACGAACGGTCACGATCCATCTTCTGAGAACCATCCGACGGCTGGATATGGAAGCCAAATGAAGCACCAATAATCCCGCAAAATTAGGGTTGCTTAGTTATAAATTTTTTGTCTTTATTAAGCGGGAGTTGCTGCGCTTTGAGCGATATGTCGACGCCCGGACAGAGGCTGGTTTGGTTCGGATCTTCCGAGCCTCTGGTTCGGAGTATCCAAGCCTCGGGTTCATAAATATGACGATTCCCGAACCTATCGCTTGGTCCTCGCGGGTTTTGAGTTTTGACTCACAGCGCGGCAAATCAAAATTTTGGCCACGGCGAATGGGTTCTCGCCACGTGGGGGATCTAGGGACCCTTTGGATCTTGCTATTTTGTATTGAATAATGATGGGCTGGATTCGGATACTAACGTCGCATGATCTTTTGGGCTCTATCTACTTTTCTTTCACGGTTGACTAGTAGGTTTTACTGATTTTTTGATCAATACGGATGCTTTTCTGCCCTCTCAGTTTCTATACACTTCCATCCCCTCTTATTTTGTACGGTCAAGGTTAAGTCACGTTAATTTTATATTAATTTTTTTATAGAGATAATAAGACAAAAAGCAATAGTGATATAAAATATTAACGTGGTTTAACCGTGACCACACAAATAGGAGGAGATGGAGTGTATGGGAATTGGGAGGCCAAAGAAGCCAAGTCCATACGGATCACCAACATTTGATTAATTTAACAGAAAAGGATCCGGATTTTAGGAATTCCGTGATCGTGACTGTTTATCGTACATCGTGCGGTCATAAATCATTAGGTACTATTTATATTTAATTTTAAATTTTGAAATGATTTCTAACCGCATGATGTACGATGAACGATCACGAACATGGGATTCCTAGGAAAAGGATCCAGGGAAGATCCTTTTCCTAATTTAACGAAGGACAAGGATAAAGGGGCATGGTAAAGTTATGGATTACTCTAATGGTTGGGGTATTTAAAAAAAAAAAAAAAAAAAAAACCGAAAGTATAGTCTTATTTTTATGATTTGTTTAAAAGTGATTTTTAAAATGACTAAAAGAGTTTGTAGAAAAAATATTTTTTCTAAAAGCACTTGAAATGATTCTTGCAAGAAGTACCAATGTTTTCTATAAGAAGCACAAGTTATGTGCTTCTTACAAGAAACACTTCAAGTGTTTTTACATGATCTAATTGCATTTTGACTAAAGATTTGTTTAAAAAAACATTCTCACCAAAAGCTTTTCCAGTCATTTTAAAAACACTTCCAAATAAGTCCTTATACTAGTGAGTTCAGTTTTGCAATTAGGTTTAATTTCTATTTTTATAGTAAAGATTAGATATTTTTTTAATATAAAAAAATTGCTTTTGACAAATCTTATTTGTTTAGATAAATTGATCCACATAACATGTATACTTTGGTTAGAATTCTTGCTCTAGTAAATTAAATTATCTTGGTTAGTGATAACCAAATTGATGGCAACTAATAAGCTTAGGTGTTCATAAATACCAACTTTGACCATGGGGAGAGAGGAAATCATGAAAATGAAACATACGTGTATTAGGTCAGCCGGTTTTTTATTTTATTGCACTCAAGTTTCATATTTTCTTTTTATATTAGAGTTCTTTGAGGGTTTGATTTTTATATTAGAGTTATTAGAGTTCTTTACGTGTTAAAAAAATACTGCTTCTAATAGAAACGTTGGCAGAGGCGATTTCCAAACATGCCCGAAGGTAGCGAATTCTTCGAAGGGAAAAATCATGAAATAATAGGCCGATTTAGGCCCGAACCGGTTCGAGATGTTGATTTGACCCGACTCAGAGTCGGGTCCATCTTTCGTTTTAGTTTCAGTCTAATCTCGACCGTTCAATAGAATCCAACGGTCAACAAGTGAGCACAAAGACAGAAGCAAACACCTCTCTGCGTTTTTTCTTCACGGCAGAACACAGACACTCACATTCGACACAATCTCTTGTTCCTAGTCTTCTCCTAAATCCTATAATGTCAAGCTGCTTCATGTGCTCTTTCTCCTCAGGTCAGTGATCAATCTTTCCTGAATTCTCGTTTACCCATTTGAACAATTTTTGTTTTTACCGCTGTAAATAGCAAAATCTGTTGCATGAACTCTTGCAATGCTCATAAAGCTCCGGTCTTTAACATTTTCCAAGAGATTCCCCTTCCGGGTCTGTTCGAAAGCATGCTTTTCTGCACTTTCCTGCACTCAAACCATTGAAATTTTCTCGGGAAACAATCAGGACCCAGAAAATTCATCCGACTTTGAACAAAATATCCAGTCTTTGAGGAATCAGCTTGTACCGGATAACTTAATCCGGGTTCTGGATAACACTGATGATTTGAGCTCAGCAGTGAAGGTGTTCAAATGGGCTTCCCTGCAAAAACGGTTTAATCACACCGCGGATACGTATTTTCGGATTGTTTTGAAACTGGGTTTGGCTGGAAATGTTGAGGAGATGGAGGGATTTTGTCAAAATATGGTGAAAGATCGGTGTCCCAGTGTCGAAGAGGCGCTTTTGGCACTGATTGATGTGTTTGTTAGGCATTGCAGATTAAGTGAGGCAATGAGGGTGCTTGTGAATTTCAAAGCAGGTGGCTTTAGGCCTTCAATTGAGACATTTAATGGTGTATTGGGTGCCCTTGTGAAGGATAAGAGAGATTTTCGAGATGTTTTGTTCGTCTATAAGGAGATTGTGACGGCAGGAATCGTGCCAAGTATTGATACTTTGAATTATTTGTTAGAGGCATTGTTGGAGAGCGGCCGCATTGAGTCTGCTATTGATCAGTATAGAAGAATGAAGAAGAAAGGGTGTAGTCCTAACAGTAGGACTTTTGAGATTCTCATAAGATCCTTTATTGTTAAGGACCGAGTTGATGAAGCTGTTATTGTTTTCAATGAAATGCTTGATCTTGGTTGTCAGCCTGATTTGAGTTTTTATTCCTGCATAATACCTTTGTTTTGTCAGGAAAATAAACTGGAGGAGGGAATTAGATTGTTCGAAATGATGAGAACTTCTAATTTTACGGCGGATTCATTGGTTTATGAGGTTCTGTTGCAGTCTTTATGCAAGAACCTTGGATTGGATGATGCAATAAAGGTTTTAGAAGAGATGATGGAAACTGGGTTGATGCCGCCAAATAATGTCTTTGCAGTTGTAGTATATGTGTTTTGTAAATTAGGGAAGGTAGATGACGCGATGAAGTTCTTGGAAGATAAGCAAATCATGGAAACTTCTGCCTGCAATGTACTGCTTGAAGGTTGCTGCAGTACTGGAAAATTTCTTATGGCGGAAGATTTACTTGTGAAAATGTCTGAAAGAAATGTGGCTGATTGTAATTCTTGGAATATTGTTATCAGATGGCTCTCCGAGCATGCAAGGATTAGGGAAGTGCGTGAACTTCTTGGTAGAATGGTGGTTTCTTGTTCTCTTCCTGACTGTGACACATACTCGGCTCTAGTTGTTTGCCACTGCAAAATGAGCAACTACAGAAATGCTATGGATATATTTGATCATATTTGTGCCAAAAGCTGGGTTTTGGATCATACATCTTACTCTGAGCTTGTCAAAGGCCTTTGCCTAGGGGAAATGATTCATGAGGCTACTGAAGTGTTCTGTTACATGTCTAGTAATAGATGTTCGATCGAGCCTTCCTCGTTCAATATGCTGATCAAGGATTTGTGTGAGACAGGAAAGGTTGACGAAGCAATAAGGGTACAACAATTGGCCTATTATTCCGGTACTTCTTCTACCAGTTCAACTTACTCAACTATTATGCTTGGATTGTCAAAATTAGACAAGGTAAAAGATCTGTTGATAATCCTCTCAAAAATGCTGTTGGAGGGTTGCAGTCTTGATTTGGATGCATACTGCGTGCTCATACAAAGCATGAGTGTGCAGAATCGAATGAAACAATGCTTATTGCTTTTCAATATGATGGTCGATGAGGGTCTTGTACCTGATTCCAAGAGACTATTTAATCTACTCTCTTGTATAGCCAACCATTCTCAGTTGCACATGATTTCGTGTTCAATAAATAAACTAACTTCCGATGGTAAAGTTCTAAATTCAGCAATCTACAACTTGCTGATTAATGGCTTCTGGAAAGAGGGTTATAAATGTGAGGCGTGTCGATTTTTGGATACAATGTTAGAAAAGGGTTGGGTCCCAGATGCTAAGACTCATGGATTGCTGATTGGGTCTGGTGTTAGCGAAGAAGTAGATAGGAACAGGCTGGACTATGACAATTCTACTGTAGATACTGTTAGCAACATCCTTGCAGAGGGCTTAGATGCAACACGATGGAAACTTCCATCGCGGTAATCAGGTTATGACCTGTTGGTCGCTCAACTTCTTTTGGTGAAGTGTGATCTGGTCTCAGATGTTCACTGTTGAAGATTTTGTCTCCATAATCAGTCACACCTGAGCCGTTTGCAGCTATGGTTCATATTTTGTGCAATGGATCCGGGAGCTGTTGCCTGCCATGTATGATAGTTTTCTTCACCTTCACCTCTGAGGTTCATGGATCTCTTCTACATATTCAAACCCTAACCTACGCCAAGAAAGGTGCTTTGTTACACCAATATGTTTCTATAGCTTCAAATGAAATTGTTTTATTGTGAAAATTCTACGACGGTTATTTCTAAACAGTTAGAATGTCTCAGAATTAACTTTATAAGTGATGTGTTTCAGCCAAATCGTTCGAGCAAGAGGAAAGGCAGAAGGCAGAGCAGTGCTGTCCTATTTGAACTAGCTCATGGGGAAGCTCTGTGTAATCATAAGTTGAAGCCAGTTTAAATAGAGAAGAATCCCAAGTCAGAACCAGACACCGGTGCTGAAGTTTTTCCCCGAGACATCTTCGGACCTCACTTATGCAGTACTTTTCTTGAAGGAAAAGGGTACAAGGATGTAATGAGAGGCAGAGAGGAGTGAAGGTTCGGATCGAAGTGGTTATAGGTACTTTTCCTCCTTGTTGAGGTGACTAGTGCGGCTGAACTGCAGCTAGTAGCCGCTCTTCGCTATTCCGACCCTCTTGTGACAGGTTACGTCATCTACTAAGATTCGGACAGTTCTGTCACAATAGATTAGGTATCCTTTTACGAGAGGGTCGGAATCGCGAAGAGTCAGCCAACTGCATTCGTAAGTATTAACATGACAGGCGAGTTTTCAACATAATCAAAAGCTCAGCACTATAATCTTAGGGGATCCGTGTGGCAAGTCATAAATCCGACTGAATTTGCGTATTTAAAGGCTAGACCTCACTCGAGGCCCCCCCACCAACCACACCACCACGGCAACCACCATCAATGCCGTTCACCCCCAAGGGTTGGCATGTTTACCATACAAAGACAGTCTTTGGGACCAACGCTCAGCTTCGACCCGTGACAATCACGGCTTTGGACATGGAAGGAGGCGGCGGTATTGGCCGCTCAACGACAAGTAAAGGGGAATATCTTCAAGCTAAACGCTCAATTTATTTGTATAAATGAATTAAACATTGGCCAGCTGACCAAAAGGATAATTTACAAGAGAAAAGGACGAAACCTACAGATCTCAAATTCCAAATCCAACTTCCATGGACCTTCAACTTCAAGTGACTCTAACAACATCTGCCTCCTATTACCGTAGTAACTTGAGGTAATTACACTCATTTACCAAGTCAAACTACCAAATATCCAGGTTAGCGATACAACTACGAAAACAAAGAATAATTTACATACGCACTTCTACAACATACATTCGGGAACACATCCCCCGCTGTCTATTTGAGCTTCTACTAGTACAGATGATGCCCTTGCCCTCGCCCTTGCCCTTGCTCTTGCCCTATCGGATGCAATCCTATTCACAGAACCAATAAAAATGGCACATCAATTGTTAAGGTATGATCAAGAAAACAATGCAACACGTCTGCCAAAAATACATTGACAAAACAAATAAAAGGATGCAAGGGGAGAGATGTTGAATGTAATCCTTAAAATTTCATCGGCATCCAGGGAACTATCAAAACCAAACGTGGTGCTAGGCAAGTTCATACAGATGACAAGACTATACAATGAAACCATACCTAACTTACAATGCACTTAAACTTAAATATCGATCCACAGGTATACTCATCAATAAACGAGTGAAAACACGGATGCAGTGAAACAAAGTGGGTTTCTACTAGCACCTATCAAATTGAGGCACAAAATGGGTAAAACACTGATCGTTATGCACAAAAAATGGATGATACTTACATAATGTCTAATGCTTTACAACAACTCTTTGCAAGTGGACTTGTTGTGCCCAAGACCCTTGCATCTGCTGCACTGGAGTTGACGCTTAGCCATATCTTGTGATCCATATTTCTTAGTAGTAGGCCTGCCTGGTGGACGTCGGGTGGGAGGAGGGGTTACGGTCACTAGTACTTGAGAAGAAGCCTTCATCACAGGTATGTCTACATTTGGAACAGGAAGTATTGGTTCTGAGTATGTCAATCTATAGCTCTCGGTGGTAAAGTATCTTGAACAATAATCATATGGGCTCCTGCCCATGCAACGAATGACAGCAATTGCATGACAGCACGGTAAACCAGTTATCTGCCACCCTCTACAACTACAGTCCCAGCGATCAACATCTACAACTTCAGTGGTGTCACCATGAACCTCAAATCTGCTACCACCAGCCGACAGTAGAACTTGGAGGTTTCCGATTTTCTGAATTTCCTTTTCTAGCTTTTCCTCCATGGATGGAGTAAGCCTCGTCAACCATTCATTAGATCCTTCCCTTCTTGTGTAGATCAACTCCATAATCTTACCCCTGATCACATCAACCATCTGTGTTATTGGTAACTCATGTGCATCCGATGCCCAACTATAGAACAGCTCTCCAAAGTTCGATGTCATGTGGTTATATCTAGCCCCTTGAAAGAATGAATTCGCCCACTTCTGGGGCTCAGTTTGTACGATCCAATTGTAAGCCTCCAGTGAGATGCTTTTTATGCTTTCAAGACAACTTTGAAAGTTTTCGGGCCTAGGCGCATAAGCAGCACCATAAAAATCCTCAATCATGAGCCGTTTGACCTCATGAGAAAACTGCCCTTTCAAGTCCCTGATAAGTTGCTCGGTCAAATATCGCAGGCAATAGCCATGATATGAGTCTTTAAATATTTCCGCAATTGATTCCTTCAATCCCTTCTGTCTGTCTGCCACAAATGTCACGGGACAAGAAATTGAGAATGCAGATTTCAATTGTAGTAAAAACCAATGCCAGTTATCATCAGTTTCTGCATCCACCACTGTGAACGCAACAGGGAAAACCTCATCATCCCCGTCCGCAGCTGTTGCAGCCAACAATGTGCCTTGATATTTTGATTTTAAGGGAATGCTATCCAGGAAAAGGAGAGGCCTGCAACTTTGCTGGAACCCATACAATGAGGCATGGAAAGAGACAAAGAGACGATGGAAACTGGAGTCTTCCTTGGTGGTAAAAGTAGCAAGACTACCAGGGTTTGTCTCCATTATCCTGTCACAGAAAAATGGTAACTGATTATATGCCTCCTTGTACGAACCCTGAAGCTGCTCCTTTGCTATTTCTTTCCCACGCCAGGCCTGGAAGTAGTTTAGCTGTATTCCAAATTCCTGCTTGATATCGTTCACAATATCCTTGGGCTTATAGTTGGGCATATATTTTAACTTCTCCTTAATTATACTAGCCACCCAACTCCTTGTCGCCTGATGCCCTGTAGTTGCAACAGCGCCTTCACAGGAATGCGTTGGATTCATCTTCTTAATACATATTAACTGTGTTGTCGACAACCTTGATGCATGAATTCTCCAAGGGCAGCCTTCAGCCTTACACTTGACAGTCACACGATGACTATCATTCTTCTTATACCTAAAGGCGAACTGACGCGCAATGGCATATTTGCGCAACGATTCACGAAATTCATGAACACTGCTGAATCTTTGGCCCACACCAGTAATTGCATTCTGCCACTGCTGTGCACCTTTAGCATGCTTCTCATCATTGGGGTCAACAAGAGGGAAAACGGGTGATATTTCAGTGGGTATATCAATATGTGCATCAATAGGGCTGGCATCATCAATAACATCAAGCGAGGCATTGAGTGGGATATCATGCTGGGTGGTATCACCCACAAAGTCCACAACATCGAGAGATGCATCAACTGGAACCACAGTTTCTGACAGAGTTGTTCTGCTTGACCTAAAAAATCCATGAAATTCATAAATTTCACAAAAAAGGAAATTTTTCAAAGTGGTATTTAAACTTACTAGCTTACATATTAAGAGAGCTACCTACTGGCAGGCATGTTCGAGACATCAGGAGGAGCTACTTCCTCCATGATATAAACATCAATGGTTGCAAAATCACCATGGAACTTGATCATGCGATGGAGATCCTTGTCATTGGAAACAGTAATCAGGGTCTTCTTGTTGCCAGGGAGGAAGTACTTGAAGACCATGTTATTGTTGCAACCAAACATTTCTGTCACCTCCAATTTAAACTCATCAAACTCCATCTGGTCATCAATGTCAATAGCATGAGCGTCGACACCCCTATATGACAATGTACCATCTTTCTCTGTAAGGAATTCACCCCCCGACTGACATATTGCTATGACTCTCTTCACCTCCATGATCTGCCTCAGTCAAACAGAGCAAAACACATCCGTTTCAAATCATCATAGCAAATACAGTAAGCGGCATATGTCATATACCGTACAATTTATCTGTCAACTGTACACTTAAACAGCAAAGACCCTCTCACCAGACCTCAATTCACTTCACAATACAACAATAGGGGAGAATTACCAGATTAAATTTAAGCTTAAACTAATTGCGTACTAAACACAACCTCGCGGAGTTAACGTCTAGCTACGGTAGGGTTTCTGGTTACTGACAAATGCGCAAAGTAAAATTGTCAGCCCCAATTGCTCCAAATGCAAGTATTTTTCAGCTGGAGTGCACATAAATCAAAAGAGAAGCACACACATGACATATATACACACAAAAATTGTTGACTCTAATATTTGAGGTCCTAACCACGCAAAGGATTAAACTTTGTTGCATATGCAAACTAAGCAAGTCAGCGACTTTCAGACACCCTCAAAGGGTTCAACAATAAACGAAAAAAGTAAGCAAATGGGTAACAAAATTTCGATCAAAACAATAGCATAAAACACCAAAAATTCAGACTTTAAGCCAAAAAATCTTTCAATTCCCCAGAAAGGGGACCCTAAAAACCCTAATTTCCCCAATACCGACACATCAAATCGCGGTAAAACAAACGGAAATTGAGAAAATTACCTCTGAGAACTGAGATTGTCGTCTCAGTCTCCAATGCCCAATTCAAATTTGGGATTTTGACAGTGATTGGCTCGCAGCTCTGAAATTTGGGGATGTTCACGCATACGTCTGAAACTAAACAATCCAACCCCAGGAGAGGGAGAGAGACAAAGAGACAAGAGAGAGTGGTGGTTAATACGGTTAAGGATATGGGAGAATTTTGGAAGGTAGAGTTTGTGTTGGAGTAGTGCTTACGTTACAGGTAGGTGGGGAAGTGAGAAGGGCAGAGGGGTATGTGGCTTTCCCACCATACCTCTCTTTTCTTTCACAATCCCAAGTTCCCAACCCAGTTTTTTTATTTTATTTCCATCTTTTTTAAATAAAAATTAGAAATTTTCATTTTGTGAAGAAACTTTCAACTTTGCTTATCTATCTACGAGGGATCATGATCCTCTCTTAATCAAAGGGTGAGGATCTTCCTGACCAAGGTCATCAGGTCGTTAAAATTTTATTCAACGGTTACAAACAAAGGGCCCTTCTAAAAACTATAATAATTGTAGCCATTCGATAAAATTTTAACGACCCGATGAGCTTGGTCAGGAGGATCCTCATCCTTTGCTCAGGAGAGGATCCTGATCCTACTACAAGGTTTGGATTTTATACTCTTACTAGCCTTCACGTGCTCACGCCCGTGCAGAAGATATTTTTTGAATCACAACGTGCTACACGCGACTTACACGTTTTAAATGTATTTATATGTGTAAATTGACAAAAGGAAAGTCAAATATTTGAAGGAAATAAATAATCTTAGATCATGCTAGAAGAAACCCCTAATAAACCAATTAAAGCAGCTGAATTCACATAATAAAATCTATTTATATAGAATTTACTTTAAGAATAGAGAAAATAATATTTAATAAACAATTGATTGAATCACATTATTGCAAGTCTATTGTAAAGCTAAGCTCACCCCCTTCCCCTTAGTGTAGATAATATCGTTTAAAAAAAATGATCATTCGACAACTAATTTAATCATATTATTATCCGCGTGTGAAAGACTTTTTTTATAACCTGCATTACACACCTCTTAAGATGTTTTGAACGTGTTTAAAAATAGAGAAAATAATATTTAATAAACAATTGATTGAATCACACTATTACTAGCTCACTGTGAAGTTAAGCCCACTCCCTCCCCTTTAGTGTAGATAATATCGTTTGTTAAAAAAAAAAAAATTCATTTGACAACCAATTTAATCACATTATTATCTGCGTGCGAAAGATTT